AGCTATTCGGGCTGGCGATTGACCTCCTGTAGGACTTAGTGGATACTTTGATTGGACACTAGTAACTAGTGCAATATGTCTAGTCTTTTCTTTGGTACAAACTGATTTCTATCATCAAATCATTGTACACCTTGGTGGCGAGCTACCTAGAATGGTGGCCACATCGCAAACCTGATTGATAGAATTCAGTGTGCACCAAAGAAAGTACTAGACACATCGCACTAGTTACTATTGTCCGATCAAAGACAGTCAGTGTTGTTAAATGTTTAACCGTAAATCTTTTGAAATGCGCGTTCTCTAATCACTACAACAGAGGATGTGACGGAAGTTTTGTTGGACTGTCGGCCATTTGAGGAAAACAATAACACTGTAAGACCTTGTTCTCTCAGTTGTAAAATGCCCCTGGTTGAAATATTCGCATAGTTGAAAAATTCATACGCCAACGATAGTTACTCCAAGCATTGTTACTGTTGAGATAACCGCCTGGTGTGATAAGAATTCAAGGAACCAGACTTCCGGTCAATTCAGCTGTTAGAATCATTCAGATTTTCTGGTCCCATTACCACATCAAGGATTTTTAATTCTTTTTTGTGTGGAGTGAAACACAGAGGACCAAGCTTTTGAAGTTTCAGTAAAGATGGCGTGGTTTTCATAGGGTGGGATTGCTAGCTTCACGTTCAACCTCCGCATTTTCCCGGACTTTGTCATTTCAAAAGACGTCATAAAGCTCATTTTTTATACAACTTATCAAAAACAAGTCATGATGAATCCACTGAGACAGTATTTTCCTTTTCTATAAATTCGATTACTATAAATGAGGACCCTGGATTTGCTCTAAACCTCTTTTAGGTGTGATCATGCATTCCCGTAATGTTAAATGATCAAATTAAGTAGTAGTGCATTACACAGGAAATTTGCGTCATTTGTTTTCCCAGCTACATTTAAGCTACCAACTTAACAAATTTACATGTGGGTGAATTAATCGCCTGGTTTAAACGCAGTGTGACACCGATAAGATGAAAGACTTTGATTTAGAAGTATCCACTGAATTTTGTGCAGAATGATAATACGAACTCTAGGTCTATACAATATAGCATAGGGGAGGCTGCATCACAAGAGTTGTACCAGGGGAACGTTGAGAAATACGTTTAACAAGACTTAAACTAGCTAGAGATTTCTGGTTGAGCATACAGTGTAGCTTACAACAGTACGATCTTTGGAAAACTACAGAAGTATCCAGTTAGTGTAACAGTGTCAGGTTAAAAGATGTATAAACAACCGTTCTTTGTTAACGCATTGCAGCAGAACCATATTTACATACAACTACTACAGTATGACAGCTAACGACAAGACAACCGAGCTCTCGAAAGCAAATGCTTCACATCCACTGTCTCAGAAGCAAGGAAAGGTTCAAAATATAATAACACAGCAATTTGTAGTTCACGTAATTATATGAATTATAGTCTATTAAACACAGGAGTCAGACAAAGGTGCTTATTATCACCAATGATATTCTTAATTGTGGTGGACTGGATTATGCGTCAGACAGTGAGTGGGAAACGAGAAGACAGGGATATCCTGGACCGACCGATGTGAAAAACCTAGAAGACCTGGATTTCGCGCGTGGATGATTTATGTTTGATGTCACAAAAAATCGAAGACCTACAAGCGAAACCAACAAAATGGTCGAAGAAGCAGCCGGCGAAGACAGGACTCCAAGTGAACATAGACAAGACGGAGGTTATCAAAATAACCAACCATCACGACCAACAACAACAGCAGCAACATCCAGCGCCAATAACTACCAACGGGAGGGATTTGAAAGAGGTTACTTCATTCACTTATCTAAGGAGCATTGTCTCGACTACAGGAGGAACGGATGGGGATGTCAAATCGAGCGAGAATCAGGAAGGCGAGAAACACACACATTCATCAACCTGAAATCAATCTGGAAATATTTGTCACTCAGCCACCATCAACAACAAAATTCAGTCGGATTTCCAATACAAACAGCGTCAAATCAGTCAGTTCTTCTATACGGATCAAAAACTTGGCGGGTGGGTCACAAAGAATATTTCCAACAGCCTGTTGCACACCTTACCTTTATCAACAACTGTCTTCGCTGGCTCTATACTGAAGATCAGATGGTCGGGCCGGAGAGAATCACCAACAAGAAACTATGGTTGGGAACAAACGAAACAAGAACCAATCGCCAACCGACAAATATGCAGGAGAAAGTGGAGATGGATTGGACACTCGTGGCTGAGGAGGCCGGTTGGTGACATCACGCGCGCGTCAGGCCATTGCTCGAGTGGAACTCGAAAGGGAATCGGCGAGTGGGTCGTCGGTGCAAACGTGACATGGAGGAGATCGTGTGAAGAGGAGTTGAAAGAGAATGAACTAACATGGATGGAGGTGAAAAGTACAGTAGAAGGAAGACAGGAGCAAGTGGATACGTGCAGTTGAAGCCCTATGTTCCGCTAGGAACCCAAGGGAACAATAGTAAAAAAATATTTACCGGTGTTTAAATCGTGAGATATTGAGCGTTCAGAAAAGCGCTTGTCAACAATCACCTAGTCTTGGAATAGTACTAAACAAGGAGAGTTTTATTTGAAAGATAAACATGAACAGAACGAAGAAGTGGCATCACTCGATGAAGTCCGTAACTGTTGCATAGAAATCTGTGGGTTAGATAGCTGGGATCCATTAGGTATAGCATAACTAGTTCCAGTGATAAGACTCTAGACTGATCACAATGACACATACATCAGTGGCTTATTCGCATCTCGGTGTCATCATATTTCATTATTTGCCTGTATTTCCTATTCCTTTTTGTCACATAGCATTGTCATTACTTTCATTCGTTCATCTTCCGAATTTACTGAAGATGTGAAATATAGTAGTCTGCACTATCACACAGAAATTCTTAAGCAGCATTACAAGATCATTCCATTCGACTGTTTGTTACTTTATCTTCTGCTTAGTAAATACTTCATTGGTATGAGGATTTAATCATCCCTGCGATACATTAGTTATTCTAATTGTTTGAGAAAAGAACTATATTTCTTTCCTTATGATGAGACAAGCTAAGATGTTATCTGTAGTTGTGATGCAAGGTCAACAAGACAGTGTAGGTCGTTTTCAAATCGTGGAAAATGCCAATCAGTATATGAAGGTGAAAAGAACAAGAAACTCAGTAAAGATATCTTTCCGGTGATTTCATCCTCAAAAGCTGTACAACCGTATTATCATGCATACAATTATTATTTAATTCAACATAGTAACAAAGGGAGACTCTTTATTCAGAGTCATTTATAAAGTGAACAGAAATCTATCAAAGACAGTGTGTTTCTGACTTGTTTGTAACGAGGAAGGCCTCTCTCCTATATGCATCAAGAAGCTGGAGTTGTGCTCAAAAGAAACTAGTCCAACCACTATATTTACCATGGATCTAGTTCTGTTTGGCTTCTTAGCGGTCGCTTCATCACTATCTTCATTTTCTAATCCTCATTTATTTTATTTTACATCTATGCTCAGACTGTTCATACTTGTCTTCATCAAAAACTATTTTACATATTAAGAAACTCCTTTCTAATCCTGCATAATTTTGTTTCTATGCCCCCTTGAAACTTCTACATCAAATTGAAGATTATCTCGCTTCGTTACTAAGTTGAATTAAATATTAATTATAACTGTGTAAACTTGTGTATTAAAATGGAATTGTGCACTTTTGGAGGAGAAAGTTGCTGAAAGGGTTTCTTCGATAAGCTTTTTGTTCTTTTCTCTTGAAAGTCGTGTTATCAATAAAAATGTATACCAGAAGCGTGTTTATACATTACTAAGATAGAAAATTAATAGGATTACACCGAGTAAGTACATCTACTCGATAACCACAATATTTGGCTATCCTAACCTCAGGACGAACAGTTGGGTTTCGATCTCATAATCAACCGATTGAAAGTCAACTAGCTAATGCCATGAGTCACAAGGAACAAGTACGCACATTATGCAAAATAGTTATTTGCATGAAATTTTTACCTTTCTTGTCAGAGTAGACGACTGAACGAGTTGGTTAGTGATGAATTGAAGGTGTTATGTGTTTAAACTTGGTTGGAAAATTAAGGTAAACATCGTAGACAGACAGCCAAAAATAACTAATATTTCTCAGTAACTATGTATGAAGACTGAGGAATGACTATACCATAGTACCTAAAACAAAGAAAATGAAGTGGATTTGAATGGCTTAGCGAACTAATGATACACTACATACATTATGGGACATAGTAACCGCATTCAATCGAAATTGTATTCAAAGAAAATAAGTGAGATGTTACTCAACAACCAGCGTCAATTACATGCAGTTGGCAATGAACCCCACCTATTTTGTGAGGGCTGGTGATAAGATCTAGCTCCCATGAACGAAGTGATACGGCTAATGTCATCATGTTGTCACGCGTTTATAACGTGTACCAGACAAGTCATATTTACTGACTTCACGCTGGAGAAGGGGTATTCCTCATAAAAATGAAAGGCAGAGTGCAAACGTCTGGCACTTATAACCGGATTGGTAAACATCCAGATCTATCCAGGGGAGCTGGAAAACCCTGATTACAAACCTATGCTGTACATAGACTGCAGAATCTTAAATGATCAAATGGTGTATCAACCTGTTTCGGTTACCGTCAACCTTGAAAACGTAGCTCCTAACGCTACTCTATCACCAAGACATAGACTTGGGAGCCGTCCTTTGAGTCAATCGCCTGGTTCGGTCTGTGCACCAAGGCGGTATCGCAACCCTCGCACAAAATACCAGTATGGCTTATCTGTTGATGCCCAGAATGTGCCAAGTTTGTGTTTCTAGTAATTAATAGTAATAATAAGTGGTAATACCTCGTTCGAACCCGTGATCCACTGGTCGGAAGTCGAGCGACTAGACCAATGAGCCACAGCTCTACCAACGACAGTCAACAATAGCAGTGTAAAGAAGAAAAAGAAACCATTTATGAGAAGAATTTTATTGGCTTTTACAAGAATATATAAATAAATAAACCAGAGAATAAAGTATTTTGTATAAAATCAAAAATTCATGCAAGTACTAGACAAGAACAACTATCTATCTACCATGACTAGAATGTTCTTATTTACAACAGGACCATAACCATTATAAAATATAACACTGTTCAATTATGATATAAATGCATTACACAGTTAGAGAATGGAATAATAAAACGTGTCCATATGCTGAGAAATGTAGGTGACCTGAATAGTAGAAAAACGAGAAAAGTCAGGAATTATATATGTAGTAATTAAAATGTGTTAAATTTTTTAATCAAATTCTTTTCAACAAAATTGCGGAGATATGCTTGAACTGATAGTAAGTGACTGTTGACAATCACTGGCAAAGTGATTCTGTAACTTCAAACAAGAATTCCGTTTTATAAATTTCAGCAGAGAAAGAACAAACATTGGTGCAGAATAACATGCATACATTCTATTTCGTTGGTTCCCATCAGCTGCATGCAACTTGTAATCGTTAATAAATAAAATTCATCGTAAAATTTAACATCGTTTCGTCTGTCAACAAGCATATTATAAGAGTGTCATGGTGAGATAAAACATCAGGATGACAAGGCAGCTGAAGATTAAGTATATACATATATTGTTAGGGGGAGTTTCTAGAAAACTAACTGACAAGTATGTTGTTAGAGTGGTGACAAAGATTAGTAACAATTACGTATTTAGATAAGAGAAGATGGAAATTTGGTGTGCGAGAGGTTAAATGGAAAGATGATGATGTAATATGATGAGATCAAGAAGAATTATCTCTTATGGAAGTCAAACAGGAAAAAAAGACAGGAGCGCAACCAGTCTCTGTGCTCTCAACATCCTCCTCATTGGTACAGTGACAGATCGACAAGTGCTTCTCATATGTTACCTACAACTGTATATGTCTGTTCACATGTATCTGCGGAAGCAGTTACACTGGAAGAACGGAAAGAAAGGCCTACGTCAGATTCATCGAACATGTACCAAGGAACTTCCGGTTAAAAGGGCCAAGCAGTTTAAGCTCTTCCATTACCAAACACTTGACAGATACCAGACATCGATTAGGTGGGCTGGCAGCATTCAAAGTTATTAACAGACAAAATAGCTCAGATGTCTTCTGCAGTTCGCTGAAGCTATCGCAATAGAACGACTGAAAACTGACCTATATGTCCAAAAGGAATCTATCATTGGACTTCAATTACTCTAGTTAGTCATCCTATAGTGACTCATTTCGACCTCACCCACCCCCATAACTCACACTTACGGTTCCTGTTTGACTTCCATAAGAGATAATTCTTCTTGATCTCATCATATTACATCATCATCTTTCCATTTAACCTCTCGCACACCAAATTTCCATCTTCTCTTATCTAAATACGTAATTGTTACTAATCTTTGTCACCACTCTAACAACATACTTGTCAGTTAGTTTTCTAGAAACTCCCCCTAACAATATATGTATATACTTAATCTTCAGCTGCCTTGTCATCCTGATGTTTTATCTCACCATGACACTCTTATAATATGCTTGTTGACAGACGAAACGATGTTAAATTTTACGATGAATTTTATTTATTAACGATTACAAGTTGCATGCAGCTGATGGGAACCAACGAAATAGAATGTATGCATGTTATTCTGCACCAATGTTTGTTCTTTCTCTACCCGAACTTATAACTGTTGCAGATTCAAACTTATATTACTTAGTTTGGAAGTACACGCATCTGTCTCTCATTTAACAGCCTAGTAGTCATTTAATAAGCAACCAATGTAACTATTGACTATTGAAAGATAAAAGAAATCGCCTCAGGGTTACAGATACTAATGAATTATTACAACAAGTACTTCCTACCGATGAATTTAGAGCATCTAACAATAAACAAATGAAACGGCTGTGTCGTATCCCCTATAAATTAAACACCACATCGGCCAGCTGATCCTACAGATTCGGCTAGTATTTCAGTGTATAGAAATTTCGCGTCGTATTGTTAGTCATGACAAGCTTCAGAGTATCGTTGAAATGCTAGTGATATGTATGTTGATCTGAAAGTAGATAATAACAGTTTTCAACTGATACGGGTACAAGAAGGATTGACTGACACTCAGACATTTTCCTTGAAAACACTTGAGTTTCCTCTGTTTAACAAAAACTGAGTATTAGTAAAGGAGTAATATTAATTAATAAATAGGCTATTCTAGTTACCTTCCTGGTGGTAAAGCTTTAACTGTATTATGATAGGCATCGAAAAACAATTGAACTTCTTTTGATGGCCATTTCAATGCACGCATTTGTTCAATTATCTAAAATAAAGTGCACAAAGCAAGAGAAGAAAGTAGAAAAAATGCATAATAGAGACAGTAAACACAAGTGTGAGACAAAGAAATAAAGATAACGAAGAACAATACGGTTTCATTGGAAATCATAAGTCACAAGGAGTGGATGCATCCGCGCCAGCCATTGAGAACGATTTTGAGCCATATCACCAATTGTTTCCAACCACTGGTTTTTACCGTCCCAAGGACCCCAACAAGGCAGTCTACACCTCCCTACATGGCTTATACTAACTATTGTGGATTTCATTGACTGGTGCCATGTTTTAGTTTGACCGCTGCTAGCTCTTTTCCAGTCTGACCCTATGTCAGCTAACATTGCCCATTGTCGAGGAAGGCGATCGATAGCTAGGCATGCGCAACACATGTTCTAACCATCTCAGTCGATGTAGCTTCACAGCCTCATCCATTGATTTCCCCTCCTTACATAGAACTCGACGCCTAACCTCAATATTGTTCACCTTATACCACTTCACACGGGAGATAGAGCGCAGGCACTTATGATCGAAGACAGCTAATCCTTTCATGTCTTCCACTCTCAATGGCCAGCTCTCACAGCCATAAAGGACGGAGAGGACTGATGAGCAATCCACACACCCTTTGGTTGACAGCCAGCCGGATATCACGTCTACGCCAGAGACGGCGTAAACTGGCATATGCGAAACTAGCCTTCTGTATGTGTACTGAGACTTCGTCAGAGATCAACCCGTTGGGGCTGATGGTACTTCCCAAATAAGTGAAGTGTTCGACACACTTCACCAACCACTTCACCCCCTACTTCTAAACTAGGAGTCAATGTAGTCCAGTCCTGTAACATCTTGCATTTGGCGGGAGCGAATCGCCAATAATAATAAACCTATTATTATTATATATACCAGTGAGGTAGTCGTCTGGGCGGGGGGGGGAGGGGAAGGACTAGTCGATATGTCTAAAAATGAACCAAGTACAATCCGCCAACAGAAAGATTTTAAAAAATGTGAACAAAAAAGTTTCAATACGCGAATTTACCTCTGAGATATTTGTATTTTTAATGAACAGACAATTTATTGACTACAACTACACAAACTAATTGCAAATCAATATCAGATTAAATCGTCATATAGAATACAAAATATATACACACTGGAAGTTGTGTTTTTTTAAGGCAATAATATTCCCTAAATGAAATGCGCTTACTTTTTCGTTGATATCTAAGAAAAAGTCACGCATTTCTCGAGCATGACTTAGACCACAGGCTAAATTTATGATTGCCTTTGAAATAGGCTAAAAAGGAAAAGAAAAGTTAACAAATATATCATAGGAAATAAAATTATAGCAGAGAAATGCCCTGAACTAATTAGTCCTATAGGCAAAATAACAATAATAATGGTGTGAAAAGCATTTAAAAAGAAAACGAAAATATTGTTGCATTTTATTAACACCAAAAAGCTGCCTTTCAGAAATAAAAACATTTGAGTAAATCTTCTGACACGGTTATAATATAACAGTTCACTTTCTTCGATGAATTCTGAAACGTCGGCTCATCAGGAGGTAGAACAAGAATTTCTGCCACATACAATTAGACATTGGACATATCTATATAAATCTATAAACTTAAAGGTCTTAGGACAAAAACTACATTACTCTGTCACAAGAAGCATTATTCTACAGACAAATACATCCTAACAATGCAAAAGATAGCGAGTGTGCGTTCGTTCAACTTTTCATGCAGCTACGTTTTCAACATCGGTGGCACAGCGGCAGAATGCTCGCCGACCACGGATGTGGTCCGGAAATCGATCCCCGGCCGATGCACTCCTTCACCTCATTAAGCTAAGAGTGGTAAAGAGGGAAGGTTGGGTATGGGGCTACCAACACCATCCAGTAAAAAATAAACACCACTGCCACAGAAACTTCAAGTCTCTAGCTTAAAGCCTTATGTTCCACTGGGAACGTGAAGAAATGAAAAGCAAACGTCTTCAACATTTGTCATCCACTGAACAAACAATTTTATACCACTCAATACGAAAAATCAAATCGTAATCACTCAGCTACCACCATACATCATTACTTATAGTCTGCAAAGTATTCCCCATACAATCAGAAAATAGTATTCTTAATATAACAGCCAATCAACTAAGCTGTAAGTCATCAATGCCAACGGATATCAGAAAACAAGAAACAAATATATTCAGGGTATCAGTTAAAAGAATCAACAAATCTTAATAAAGTAGGCTATAATGAATGTATCAAATCGGCTCCATGTTCAATCGTACTTCAACCATACTCAGTCATCTTAAATACATTACGTCAGCCGATTTGCATAAAATTGCTCTAGTCACATCCAGAATAATGTTCTTTCCTGTTGCATAATTCGGAATATCTCCCTTGTTATTTAAAACTCAAAATCTTAATGATATCAAATTCCCATCCATAGAACTACTCAGTTAAACAGTCTACATCCATTGTGACCACTTAAACTGAGAAATACACAATGGCGATATGTGACTAATAATCAGTCATTCATAGATGGAGGAAAACAAAGCTGAAAATATTTTACAGATCATGTTCGGACAGGTAGGTGAGTGGTGAAAAGAGTATAAGATATTCGAATGAACCACAATCCATTCCACTCAGTATCTCATCAACGGTTCAAATTAAAATACAGTTCTCTGCTGAAATTAAAAACAATCATGAGTTGATGATAATCAATAAAGAATATCAATTTTCCGGTAAAGGAGAGGTGAAAATAATTACGGGATTTAAGATTAGTTAATATGTAGAGTGTTGTCGATGAATGTACAATTCCAGTTTGTCAACACTTCTTACCATCAAATAGATGGTGTAATTAAGGGCAGTCCACTTAGTCCCGTTTTAGCAGTCATCGTCATGCTCAACCTTGAGAGAACAAGGTTGAAGCCTACAATCGACAAAACTACTTTTTATTGTCAATATGTCGTTGACACATTTGTAGTATGCAATACCGAAATCACACATCCTACCTACTCGGACTATTCAACAACGCATATGAACATAAACGTGATGGAAAGTTTCATTTCCTTCACACAACCATGGAACGCCTAGAAGATGGCAGTCTCCAGCAATCAATATACCGAAAGCTTACATGGAGAGTTGAATTACTGAACATTAGCCATCTTGGTTAGGCATAAAAAAAACCTAGTAAGGAGACACGTAGCTCCATACTATCTCACTTCATCGACACAGAGCACTGAGTAAAAATTAACACCGTTTTTAACGATATTTATCGTATTTCACCTCTACGACTCCGGCTTTTACATACAGCAGAGGTGATTGTAGTCCACCTGAATAGATCAAACTATATGTTCAAGAAGAATCTGTGCAGCCCATTTTTTTACCATGACGATTCACATAAAATGTATGACTTTTCCCTCTATCCTTGTAATTATTACTTGACATTGTTGTTAGTTTTATTATCATCACTAATTTAACTGATTCAATTGGTTTATTCGTATTTTATTATTATAACGTAATTCATTCATCTATTCTTCATAATCATCATTATTTTACAGATTGTTGATAATGTAGTAGAGGTTAGTAACAGGTTACTCTGTTACTAACCTCTACATATTAATTAATCTTAAATCCCGTAATTATTTTCACCTCTCCTTTACCTGAAAATTGATGTCTTTTTATTGATTATTATCCACTCGTGATTGTTCTAATTTCAGTAGAAAACTGTATGTGCGTCGGTGGCATGGCGGTTAGGACTCTCGCCGACGATGCACATGGTCGGGGGTTCGATCCCTGCCGATGCACACCTGATATCAATGATCGACCTGCAAAATTTGGGCTACCGAACTCATACTGAAAATTCCATACTAGTACCAAAATACGGTGTGGAATCAAGCTATAATCAAAAAAAGGAGAAAAATTAGAGCCTTTGATGAGATACTGAGTGGAATGGATTGTGGTTCAGTCGAATCTCCCATACTCTTTTCACCACTTCCCTATCTGTCTGAACTTGACCTGTAAAATATTTTCAGCTTTGCCTTGCTTTAACTATGACTGATTCATTGTAGTCTATATCCCAGTCACAAATCTCTATTGTGTATTTCTTCTCAGTTTAAGTGGTCACACTGAATGCGGACTGTTTAGTCGAATAGTTCTATGGGAATTAGATATTGTTAAAATTTTGAGTTTTAAATAACAAGAGAGATATTCTAAATTACGCAATAGGAAGGAGGATTAAACAGGTGGAAACTAAAGGAGGAGCAGGTAGGTAGGTAGGTAGTTCGAGTGACGCAACATGTTTCATAAACCTGAAGAGGGTTCAAGGAAAACCGGATGTGGGTTCAATTTTATAGATTCATTGTGTCTTTCTTTATTAACTTTTGTTGTTTGTAGTTGAATAATAAGAAGGATATAAGTAACACAAAGTATTGAAAAATAGATTTTGAACAGGTTAGTAAGACTTGTTGGTTATTGAATGTAGAAATTACGAACAATTACAGAAGTAAAGTTACCTGTTGTAGTGTATGGATAAGAAAGGTAGGCTTACTTTAAAGTTTGGTTCTAAATTTGTTAAAATAATCCTTGCTTGAAGTTCAGTAAGACTACGGATAACAAATCTGTAAAATCATAGAAAAATGAATATAAAAAATCATTACAATTCTTAGTTTGGATGAAAATCAAGGCGTTAGAAAAATCGTAATACACTTCTGACCGAAGATAGGAATAATAGAAAATTTGCAATTTAAATGAAGTTTCTTAGCAGAATATTATTCAATGGCGAAGACATTGCATATTCACATGACAGAGGAAACAATTACCGTCTAAAAAATTCTAATGCTGAACTCTAAGTAATGCAATTCATTTATTCAGTACAAGTTTCATATATATATATACAGGTGATTGTAGTGATATTCGGTTGTCCATACAGATTTAGGTGGAGAGGGTGGGGGGTAAATCAAAGATTCATTGAGCTAATGAGTGACATTCCCATCATGGGTTGTGATATGTAGTTGTGTGAAAGATATAATATTTCATATAATTCTAGTATTAAATTGAATGTTAATCAATTAAAATTTGGATAACAAATTGATCTAGTGCATAAATCGATAGACCTATTTGTGTAACCATATTTTAGAAATAAACAACAATTGCAGTGTCTATACATACTAATATCTTTTCACCTATTCTACAATAATGTACTGAATTAATGTATAATCACAGTTTGAAAGTATAGCTTTGAATAAAAAGTGACAGAGCTTGTTATTATTTCTTTTGAAGGGTGGATCCCAACAACTAATTCAACAACCGAACGCATAGTATTCAAGCTATGCATAAGTTTCCGACTAGGTTTAGTAGACTATTAAGAGAAGTTATGTCTTATTGACAAGCTAACATTGTTAATGACTATTTGAGTCAAGGGCCACCCTTCAACTATTTCAAGATGACTGTAAAAAAGTCTAACCACAAGCTTGTAAACTTGTAGCTGTCAGTTAGACAGATGAAGGTTTTTGAAACAGACTTACTTTACGGATCAGGAAAAGTAATAATTCGCTGCATAAGTCAGCCAAATTCCCACTGAATCTAGAAGAATTCTACCCCTAGTCATGCAGCATTATTAGCTGAGACTTCATTTTGAGTCGCACATAAATTAAGAACAAGCGGTCAAAAGGATATTGCTCACATCTTCATGTCATCGAAGCTCTAGCAGTCAATGAGGAGAAACTTGAAAATTGTGTTGAAAAACGTTTTATCCAATCTCTTTTACCGCCCAAGCTTTAGTGTCAGTTTTATTTCCCTGATTTGCTACATAATAAAGTTTGTGATTTTTTAAAATTTTGTTTGGCAACACATTTTCAATTCTTCATTCTCTTATTTTATTTCTTCGCTTCGAAGTTTGGGTAGCAGCGGTTTTATTTTTACAGGGTGGCATTGCTAGTCTCACACCCAACCTCCCCTCTTTGCCGGGCTTATTACCAGCTAAGCGAGGCTTGGGAGTGCATCTACCGGGAACCGAAACCCGGACTAACTAAGTGGCTGGCGAGTATCCTACCTCTGATTCATTGAAGCACAGGTTTCTTGTCAATTATTTACAAATGAACTCTCATCACGTACCTAATTAGCTGACAGCTCTCTCGAATACGTAAGATTATTCAATACTTCGTACTCATTGTTATTTCTTATACACTTTAACGTTTTCTATTATTAACTGACAAGAAGAAAACGTTGCGAAATGGTTGCGCTATGTCGTGAATTGACAGAAGTTAGGTTTCATGGGCTGGCCATTGGATCGGGTCCCAGTGGCTTAATGGTACACGAGCTCGCCTTATAACCAGAAGGTCCTGGGTTCGGACCCCAGTGGGTGGGTACTGATGAAGAGTCCCAAACTAGGACGAAACAGCTGTCTAGTACTCCCAGGTTTTCTAATGGTTCTCTAACTGATGTCAGCTCATAATGAAATCCTCTATACAAACTGACAATAACCTCTGACCTTTTTTGTCCATTAACAATGTAAATACAAACGCCTATATAACTGTAGGGCTTTGAAGTGAAGTTACAAGAAAAAAACTCTTCGCTGATTTAGTTCTATATAAGTTACTAAGTATTGAATTAAAATAATGATGAACTTTTGCTCAATGCTTTCAATTTATTCAAATATAAACCAATGAATTTTCAAATATTTACCTACCAAACTAATGAATAGACGTAATCATTTATGGTTAATTACACTAGTCGACTTTGTCAGGTTGAAACGAAAGAAGTGGAGTATAAACCCACTATGAAATGCTTGTAAGTCAAATACCCAATTGAATAAGCTTCGACTTTATCATAGTAAAAATTACACGCTGAAATATTTTTTACTTATTAGCATGTGTCTTTTTTCAAAAATTACTTCATCACTACATACCTTTCACTTAAATGACGTAGTCATTGATGATCAACATCACTTTTCGATTATCCGTAATAACAAACGTTACGTAGTTTAGTCGGATAGCAATAGTTAACAGGTAGAACGCTCGTCTGGGTTCAATTTCCGGCCAACGCACTTCTAAACGTCGCTACCAACTTCACCCGTGAAGACATACTTCAACGCTATGGAAACTTCAAAGCTGAAGTCTGAAACCTTATGTTTCAAGAGGAACGCAAACGAATGAAAAAAGAAAACACAATTTAGTCTGTGAAGTATCAATCTAGCGAAACGGAAGTGATTGGTTTGTATCGTAATTTTCATCTAAAATTCAAACACTAATCATTGTATCAAATTAGATTTTGTCAACCTACAGCCATTTGAATAGCAAAATACCCACCCATCAGCTAACTAATATGCTATAATCAACGCATAAATTACAGCTGGACATTGAGTAAAGGCTTTTATTTCACAGTCAGGAATGATGGATAAATGGTGATATATATATATATATATATATATGTCGGTAGTTTAGTGGTAGGACACTGGCCAAACAAGCAAGTGGTCCAGAGTTCGATTCCCAGTCGACGCACTCCTAAAGCTCGCTTGGCCAACGGTAAGCCCGGTAAAGGGGGAATGTTGGGGGCGTGAGGTTATGAACCGTACAATAACCACTGCTACTGAAAATGCAAAGCTGTAACTCCAAGCCCTAGGTTCCACTGGGGACGGACGGCAGATGAAGCAGGAGGTGAAGACAGGACCTAGTATGAATATAGAGAAGGCAGATTTCATTAAGATACTTAACCAACAACAACAACAACAACGACAATCATTATCAACGGCAGAAATCTAAAGGAAGTCATCTCTTGAGCTAGATTGGATATACGCTGAGGAGACCATTAAGTGATATCACGCGCCAGGCGCCCTCAAGTGGAACCTGACTGGGAAGTGACACATCAGGAGTCCGATGGTGATATGAAGATTATGTAACCAGGACCTAGGACCAACTAAAAGAGACCACAAGGACAGAGTGAAGTGGCTATGTATTGCTAAAGCTGCTATGTCCTACTCTGAACCCAATGGATTAATACCCAATATTTACTAAATAGAACATAATTGTCAAGTGTTTATCAGGACTACTTACTGTTTATGTTTATCTAAATATTCCTTCTTTTCTATTAATGGTTTGAATTCCTTTAAATCATGCAAAAATTGTAAATCCAAATCAATACCGACAAGTGTTTCACCTTTTGAATCTTTAAAGTAAGAAAAACAAGTTGGAATCAAATTTAAAAAATTATAGCATAATCATGCAGTGATTCATTGAGAAGTTAAGATAACGAAATGAGTACATATATAGTGTAAGTCAATCAAATGTATATTGAGTGTCATTTAAGGATATGGTTCGAAGTCAGTGATTTATAATGCGCTTACTGGATTTTCAATTTTATTGCTTCTGCTAATCTGCTATTTATTTTCAGTAGCAAAAAGGCAAAAAATACCAATGAGACTAATTCTCTGATATTGTTTACCATTTGACTTGAGTTGAAATGACTTTGGAAGGAAGGTAACACGTATCCCACTCAGTCTACTATAGCTTAGGCAACCGAATACTATCATCAGACTTCGTACAAGAAGTGTGGCTCATAGCCCGATACCAGGTAACTTAGTTCTAATCAGTGAACATAAAGAATGCATAACGAAAGACTAGATAATGACCTGCATTACCTGCCTACCCAAACGGCTGCAGGTGGAATTCTGTTGAAACCTGTATTCATCTGAAGTAGGAAACTAACGTCTACACCGACGAGTCACATTTTCATAATAATAATGAATATTTTATTCCATTAAGACGAGATTTTCTTTTATAAAAAGACTATATATGAAGCAAGAAATCTGATCAATAAATTCGTAGTATTTTTCCAACGCATGCATGTCATCTCTGGCGTAGAAATGATTTTATTTTTTTTTTTAAATTTTTTTATTTTTGATTACAGCTTGATTTTATGCCGTATTTCTGGCACAAGTATGGCTATCGGTAGCCCAAATTTCGCAGGCCGACCATAGATATCAGGTGTGCGTCGGCGTGGGCTCGAACCCCGGACCATGTGCATGGTCGGCGAAAGTCCTAACCCCTATCCGGCTATCGATGAATATGCGTATGTGCTGAGCAGCAGGCCACACTGTGGGATATATGGCCAACAGAATTGGGAGACTTATAGAAGCTAGCTGTTTTTGATCATGGGTGTTTGCGTTCTACCTTCTATGTTAAGTGGTATAAAACGATGAGTAATATTCAGGTTAGGCGTAGTGTTGAGTAGAGAGGAAAATTCAGTAGTTGAAGCTACATAGATCAAGATAACTATGACCTATGTCACGCATGCCGAGCCACCCACCTTTCTCATCAAGTGATGTTATTTGACAAGATTAGGTTGGGAGGAAAAAAATTAGGGATGGTCAAACTAAAACATGGGATCAACCCATGAAGGATTTAACTACTGGTTTCAGACACCTAGGGAGGTGTAGACTGACTAGCTGAGGTAGCCCAGACGTTAACAATAAATGGCTTGAGACTGCAAGTGATATGGAATTCACTCATTATTTTTCATGTGATTCTTGTTTCTCGCGTACATTTCTGTTCGTTATAGTTGCTTTGGATTTTTTTTCTTAAAAACTTGGTCGACCATCTACGAAGTCTTTTACAATAATTCACCAGAACTTAAGGTTTTTATATGATTTGTTCGTTTTATTGGCAAATTGGCAGTTCCTAGCAATATGATGATTTTTACAGCACGTTTAATTAATCAAAACTAGAGAAGGAAAACATTAATTCATTAATATTCAAGTATTGGTTACAGGATTTCATCATGAGCTGATATTGGTTAGAGAACCACTGGAAAACCTGAGAGTACTGGACAGCCGTTTCGTCCTAGGACAAATACTCGCCTAAGATATTGGCTAGGGGTCACGCTATGTCGTGAATTGGCAGAAATTAGAATTCATGGGCCATTGGATTGGGTCCCAGTAGCTTAATGGTATACGATCTAGCTCGCCTTGCAACCAGAAGGTCCTGGGTTCGAACCCTGTTGATGGGTGCGTACTGATGAAGAGTCCCAAACTAGGACGAAACAGCTGTCCAGTACTCCCAGGTTTTCCAATGGTTCTCTAACTAATGTCAACTCATGATGAAATCCTGTGATTAATTCATAAAGTTTTGATTAATCTAAATAAAGAATGGAATTATGCTCACCCTTACCACTAGCTGACCAATGTGCCATCAGTTGACCTGCACAATATGCTAAATTCTCAAATGTAAGATATGAAAGGCTCTTTTTGGACGTTTCGAATCTAGATAGATAGTTTTTTTTGAAAAATAGCATTAAAATTACTGGTAAACAACATATTATATATGAAAGGTTGAATGATAATAAATTATTATTATCTCCTTTAGTTCCTAGAGGAATGTAGGGCTTCAGAGGCACGTCTCCACTGCGTTCGGTTCTTCGCCAACGTTTCCACCTGGCTCCACGTCCTCCCACATGCTTTCATCTCCTCTTCACATGACCTCCTCCGAGTCCCCACCCCTCGGACGACAACGAAATTACTATCTTGTAAAATCTAGAAGCCAAAATAATTGAGGGAAGAAATATTTACTTTTCAATTAGATTCTGGTCAATGACTCCTACTCTAGTATATATAGTAATTTCAGTACAATGCAGAATTTACCAATTTAGTGATAATTTTACCAACCATAATTTGTAAATATCATATGTGAAGTGGGTGGTAATTAGCAGTACAAAGTAGAAATGACAGTTAAAAGATAGAAATATATCTGAAAACCAAACACATGCATAATTTTGGGAAGTTAAGAGTAAATGAGTGTTCAAATTGATTGCGTGAAGAAAAAATACACCTAAAGACGAAGCAGGAAGCAAAATAAGATAGCGAAAACACTTATTAGCCGTAAATGGCTTAGGAAGAAAGAGAAATTGTCAGTTTTTCACACTGACGTGATATATGGCCAGAACAGAGAAAGTGGCTGTGCGGAATTCTTATGAACACATAAATTTTGACTTTTTCAGATGGTTTCTGATAACTGCAGCTATATGTAAAAGATCAACTCGTAAGGCAGAATCGAGATTACACAGAATACAATAGATAACTTTAGACGTCTTTATTAACAACAACTCAATGTTCATTATCTACATGATAAGCTAAACCAGAGTCACGAACGAACTTTCTTTATCCCTTGTTTGATTATGCAAGATAATTTTCGGAAACATCCGTAATTGTACACTCAGAGTAACTAGTTTCACAGGAACAATCAAACTGGTAAATATATACATAGGATGCGAAAATCCTACTGCCAGCTACGGACCGTCACAAAGTGAGACCGGATGTACAATTTTGTGGGTCGGTACTTTTCAATCCCTCCTCCTTAGATTGGAGAGGCGGCACATTTGGCTGGCTGGTCGTTCGAAGAAAACACCTTATTGCTGTTATGTATCTATTGGCTAGCAATATGGCTCGATCCTCAGACCCCTAACATAGTGTGAGCGACTTACACTATGATGGTAACTGCTTTCAGTTAAGTCGCTATGCAACCAACTTTTCTGGCCTGGTACAACCTGCAGGAAAATTCACACCAACCAGTAAAGCTTTTCGAATCACTGCGATTCGCATCCCCGACTACTGCATCAAGGTAGCGGCTATAGGTCGAGAATCTATTGCTGAACAGAGGATTATACAAATACAATTTGTTCTTTTGCCCAAATGCTGCTTTTGTTTATTACTAAAGGAAATTTATGTGACTGAAAGTCGGGACCATAAAATCTCCAAGTACACAAGAAATATAATGTGAATTACTTGTCTCACCTGTATCATAACTTTTGCCGTCGTTTTTAACTTTGCATGCCTTTTTAAAGATGATATAACTCACTCTGAAATATTACTGTATCAATATGTACTGATATATTAACTATATAATTTAGATTGTACGTATACACACCTATTACTTGTAATAAATATAACAGCTGCATAACATTCAGCAAGGCGTTCTGGTAAAAGAAAACAATTCTTTATATTATCAATTAGACGACCAGGTAAGTCTTCAGTCCGACGAGCAACACAAGACAAATTATCGAATTGTCTTTTACAACTTCTCAACTGCAGTTCACATTTTTCAGCAATGTCGGCTATTTCACGTCGAGATTTATTTGACAGTCTTCGACCAACAAGTTCACGTAAAAAACTTTCATCAAGAGAATAATACCTAGGAGACATAATATTCATATAAACAAATAAGAGTAGAATAATAATATTATTCTGTATAAAAGCAACTTTTATCAATTGGTGAAAAACATTTAAAGGCATCCTCGTCATTCATAGGACAAACGAACATGATTTTAACTTCGAAGAAATGTTCTGTAGCAACATAACTTGCAGAGCTATTAACTAACATTTGCTTTCCCCGTTAATCTCTTTTTGAAGTTACGCCTCGTTGACTTAAACACTCAAATTATAACCAAATAGTTGCGGATTAGACAGTATCAGTATAATGGATTAAATAAGTTGGTTGTAGGAAATCGGCAGGAAACCTTGAGCCCAAGTTTCGTGCTTGTTGACACTCGTCAGCAAGGAGTATCTGCAATCTTGAAGGAACTCATGTCTCTGCTGAAATTCAAACTCGTGTCACCCAGTGACAGATGGAATTCAGTCTGCAGTAAACAAAAGGACTACACACATTACACTAGTTAATGTCCAATCAAAAGTAATGGATCCAATTTTATGAATTTATCCGGTATTATCATTTAAATTGCGTTGACTTTTTGAATGCCACTTTAGAAAAGCACTGGGACTATGTACAGAGTTGCACATAAACTAATTAAACTGTTGGAGAATATTGTTTGATGTCTGTGAAATATGCTGCATACAACTGATGGTCAGATTTCGGACTTTGTGGAAATATTACCGGAACCATTTGAGAACATAGCATGTATCTAATCCAAATGATAATACTGTTTTAATATGTCATGCCTTGTAAAACGGGATAACCTGACAAATTCTATGCATCTACGTTGACTAACTTTCTCACAAAGCAACAGCTTTATTCTTTTAGCATTTAGTCTACAAAAAAGAGTTATACCGACTGATCAATAACATTAACTCAAGCATATTTGGAAGCTTTCCTATTACGACATAAAATTAAAACACCATAAGAAAGTTAGCGAGTTAGGATTTGGTGAATTAATTGTTAAATTTGTACACCTTGGATTTTAACACACATAATTGAAGCACCAAAATATTATACGCGTTATCATGCTTTTTTGTTTGTATTGTGACGCAACACTGCACTTATTTCTGTACTTACATCAACATAAGTCTTGAAGTAAGTGCAGTTCTACTGATGCTTATGGATTTACTATATACTGACTCACTGAATTTCGTTGCTCGTTTTAACAGTTCTAGTAGAAATGGTCCTACGGATTTATAATACCAGGATAGGGAAATAACAATTGTGATTTAATTAGTCTCTACGTTACACAAGAGCACGATGCTGTCTAAATTAATATACCATTTGACCTTTACCAATCCTGCAAATATTCATAAAGTGTGAACAGAGAGTATTACTGAGAATGCAAAAAGCTTCTAAAATAATATGAAATGTTAATTCAGTGTAGCTACAAGTGTGCACTTGATAACTGTCGGCCTTTATCATAAGTTGTGGATACACGTGAAAATCGACTTTTCATATCTAAGCATTCATCAACAGTGTAGTGACAAAACTAACTATATTTTCACAGATAATTTATCAATTGTATTAAAACCCTTTCCTAATATACTATTCAGAAGAATAAAATAAAGAACTTATAACATACATATGAATCAGCTGTTTGCGAGTCTCTGGTGTAAGTTGATGGTATGCACAGTCTTGCATGAAAGAATCTGGATGTCGCAAGCCCATTTCTAACAGCGTGAACTGTGCAAAGTGATCTCTGACATGTGCAGCCAACATATCATTTGTCATACGAAACTCTTCCACTGAAGGTGACTGTGCCAAGATCGAACAGGCCTGTGAAACTAAGGAGTTGATAGAATGATAAACAAGGTTACATATAATCTGTATGAGTTTAAAAATTAAGCAACAGCAAATATTTGATAGTGAATACAAAGATGGTCTTATAGTGACTGATTAAACAGTGATTTTTGTTCTGACATCTAAATAACTGTCTATTATTACATACGCAGTGTATAGTTATATCACTTAAAGAGATTTCCTTATGTAAATGAACATTGGATTTTTGTTAAGAAATATTTAATGAAAGAAATTCGCAAAGGTCAAATACAGTAATTAATTCAGTAAAATACTTCTCTTATACCTACTTTTGGTACATCCACAGACGAAGTTCAACAGGAAATAGGTGAAGAGGTATAACAGGAAGACTCTAAACACACTATGAAGAATGAACGCTATTTCCTCTTAATTCCCTAAATATATTTTCAGAAGTACTTTGTGTTGAAGGAAGTAAGACAAAATAAAACGGAAAACTCAAGTAAGCGTAAGAGAAACAGTCGTAAAGTACTATTTTTTATCCAACTATTGTTATAAGGTTTATATTTGTTAGCTGAATTCTTCACTTTAGGTGTGGGGTCATTTCAATAGAAAGAACAAGTTCGTGCACAGTTACATCAGTTTACAGTGGTTGGGTTTGAAACATCAAACAGAACAGAACAGAACTAAAAATGATACTACACTGGGCAAAAGTGATTGACCGAAGAGGCAATAACTAAATGATGCTTTACAAGAATGCTTGGAGCTTATGTAATAAGGAGCAGCTTAATGTAAACTGATGTAAAGGGCTTTGAATCATTTCGACTAGAATTTCTAGCCTGTCTGTTGAACACTATTGAGTTCCATACTTTTTTGTGCTGTTCAGACCAGTACACAGATACTTGGATGAGACAAGAACAAGTTGAGCCGGTGGCTGGTTCTTACTAACTGTATACAGACAACGAAAATCCTGAGATTTCTTCAGCGATCAGTCCACTCGGAGTAATGCGAATTCCCAAGTAACCTAGGTGAACAAAGCACTCAACAGCCTTACTCTTATTCTTACACTAGGATTTGGTGTAGACTAGTCACGCTGCATACTATTACATACGCTGGTGGGAAGCACATGCCAAATACACTCACATCTTTCACGCGGCTTGTTGAGTATGTATAAAAAGACTACATCATGCGCCTACTCTAAATCAACTATTTAATTTGCATAAGGCCACAACCCAGGATGTCCAAACAAAATATTGATCTCGATCTGGAAATTCATAACGAGACAATAAAAACGGCATGGTTTCCAGAGGAACATAACAGGTTATTGCCTTTTCAAAAGATAAGTATTCGTCAGTTAGAATACAGATTTGTGAATTTATGTAGTGCCTTGACCTGTATGGAATATTTCATCACTTTCTTCGTAAAGTGTCAAAACACCTCCCATCCTATGGAACCGAGTACAGATATAAGGTTAGGGAAAACGAGGTGTACCAGATACCGTTACAAACACCTGTATTCTAGAAGAATCTTTAGTGGATGTTTGATAATAATAATAATATAATCACTTTATTCCACAACAATAACAATTTACAGCATGGAATTTTCTGCGTTTCTTTTACATATTGCAATGGTTTAGCTCTGTTTATAATTATATAAATGTATAAAATGTTAAAATATTGATAGTTAATAGGAAAAAAATAAAACCCCAACAAAATCACACCATTGCTAGGTCATAGTGAATAATAAATAGATAATATAACAAATAACACATGCATTAATATGCATCATTACATTTTATAGTTTAGTTAATGATTTAAAAGTTGTAAAAGTTCTTTTCTGATATTTGTCTCTTAACACAATACTCGTGCCAAATATGGTACGGTCGAATTTTTATATTTTGTAGTACGAGCATAAATGTTTATGAAATTTCTTCTCATCTTACCCGAAGAGATACAAGGAAACAATTGTGAATAAAGAGGATGTTCACTATCAGATAAGATAACTTTAGCTAAGTGTTTACAAGAATTCATATGCCTATTGATAACAGTGTCATTTAGTTGAGTCAAAGGGATAGCACTGACCCTACTTACAGCCTTCAATGTTCTTCGTAGTATTATATGGTCTTTCTTGAGTAGCCGAGGGAAGAATAATGGAGAACAATAAAGGATAATGGGCAAAACACATGAATTAATAAATTGTATGAGAAGAGATTGAGTTATACCTGAGTGTCTCAACTTCTTTATGTAATAAGTCAGACGGAAAACTTTCTTAGAAACTATAAGAATATGAGACGACCAGCAAATGTTTGAAGAGAAACTAATGCCAAGATAAGAAACACTTGACTTACTCTCTATCATGGTACCATCAATATTACTACAATAATGAGATTGAATCAATCTATGCATGTCTTTTTCACTTCTCAAGCTGAAATCAACAGTGTTACATTTAGTTGGATTTAGTTTAAGACCATTTGAGCCACACCAATCCTTAACTTCAGCTAAGAAGCCATTCATATGGGAACAATCCGATGTGGAAACTACAGGGACAGAAACGGTCAGATCATCAGCATACTTAATGAAGTTAACTTTGGGTGAGTTCGGAAGCTCATGCAAAAAGAAAGAGAAAAGAAATGGAGAAAGTACTGCACCTTGAGGCGCACCACTTTCAGTTAGCTGAGAAGTGGAGCGCTTTCCAGCCAAAACAGTATGCTGTTTCCTATCCTTAAAATAAGAAGACAGCCATCTAGTTGCCCAGGACTCTGTTTGTGCTGAAATCATCTTTCCTAATAAAAGTGTCCTAGGAACAGAGTCGAAAGCTGCAGTATAATCTAAAAAAGCTGTTCGAACGAACTTAGCACCCTTATCAAGGCAGGAAACAATATTGTGGTGTAGTACAATGGCTGCATCTAATGTACTTCTTCCACACTTATAAGCAAACTGCTTAGGGTCACTAAAAGCTTTTAAAGAAGATTTAAGAATATTCAAAAGAAGTTTCTCCATAGTTTTCAAAAAAGGAGATGTTATAGCGACCGGTCTAAACTTTATACCTGTTCCAGAAGATGATTTCTGTACAGGTACAACCTTGATTTCTTTCCAGTTAGCAGGTACCGTTTCCCTGTTAAATGCTGCGTTAAATATTTGAGTAAGAGGATGACACAAGATGTCTGCACACTTTTGAAGAAGAATGCTTGGTACACCATCTGGACCAAGGCTGTGTGTTGGATTTAATGATTTCAAACATAATAGTACATCCTTTTCTTTAAAACCCGGAAAATGACCATTTTCTTGACTAGGTACTTCAGGTACAACCATATTAATTTGTTTCTTGATAAATGATTTGTTTAAAGCATTAACATCAGAATAAGCACCAACAGACATTTGTGTTTTACTTGTAAGTTTATTGAAAAGTTTCCAAATGTTTGAAGGATTTTTACATGATAAAAATTTTTCATTATATGGTCTGTTCAACCTTTTTATTGATCGGCGTGTCCTGATTCGAACTTATTATCGTGAAATTATTTACAAGTCGGTGCGCCATTGGCACAGTGGTTAGGACTCTCGCCGACTATGCACATGTTCTGGGGTTCGACCACCTGCCGACGCACACCTGATATATCTATGGTCGGCCTGCAAAATTTGGGCTACCGATATCACATTCCATACTTGTACCAAAATTACGGTGTAAAATCAAGCTGTAATAAAAAAAAGTCGCCCCCTATATTCCTTTCTGATAATCCACCTAGTTTTCATTGTTGTTTATAGGTGATTGCAAACTGAGGTGAATGAGTGCGGCGGAAACCATTGCTTTTTATGATCTGATGATTAGTAGTTAAACTTTAGAAAAAATATAGAGCTTCAAACCACTCAAGAATAACAGATAACCCAAAAGAAATGACTTGCAAGCATGTCCCTCACTGGTGCATGTTGTAATGAATTTTTAGGGAACAAAAATGTCGAAGCAAATACAATTACAAACAAATTGTTTCGAAGAGAGGGTTAAGTAAACAATGCGGAAGATACAAGATGTACCAAGGAACTAGAAAAACGCAGAATGGAATAGAGCCAAGAGTTCAAGAAACAGGAGAGGAAAAAGAAAAATGTGAAAATGAGGACTAAAAAAAGGAGATAAACAGCCGTATGAATGTATAGTCTGACAAAAACGGGCGAAGAATGGTAAAGTAATGGTTAATATCCAATATCCTGATTACGAGCTAGTATAAACCAGTGATTTCTTTGAGCTCGCTTCTTGATTGTGAGGTAGAGGTTCCAGATCTTCGGTGAGCTTCTGCGTAGTAAGTCCCGACACTCGACTGCTTTAGCTCTGGTAGACTCCAGGAGGAGTGGTGCGGGGATTGGTCGAGATGTGGTTTGTAGTATGCAGTATGTTAGGACTGTATTGCTGCCGTGAATGGAGTTTGACCTAACTCCCCTTGGTCATTCGGTGTAGTCATAAAAGCAGAATAGTAATAATAATAATAATAGGTTGTAGTGTAGATAATATAGGTTGAGATAAGTGGAATAATAAAGGTGACCTAAGGAAAAGATAGAGTGAGAGAAGGCAGAATAGGTCGTGGGGATTTAGTTTGTACGCTTATTCATTGACAGTTTGGTTTCAAATTTTATGAGGATAAGCCATTGAGACACAAACCTTGCATTTCTGCATGATTGTCTAGCTTCCGCTTAAAAATCTCCAGAGATGGCGCTGTAGTCACGGCCGCCGGTAAAGCGTTCCAGAGACGGCAAACACGAAGCGAAAAGAAATGTGATCGCACTCGAGTCTTTGGTCTCTGGTGTGCTATCCTTAGCGGGTTACCTCGTGGAAGCCTATAATCGCTTAATGGCAGGATGCTTTTATTTGGGTGGGCCTGGTCATTTAGGATCTTGTAGACGGTGATGAGGTCTCCCCTGTGCCTACGGTAACTAAGTGTGAAAAGACCTAATTTCTTTAGTCTTTCCTCATATGATTTGTTGCGGAGGCCGATCACCCATTTTGTCGCTCGTCTCTGGACACTTTCTAGAATGTTAGCATC